CATCATCACCACCACCACCACCACCACCACCACCACCACCACCATCATCATCATCATCATCATCATCATCATTCTTCTACGTGTCCTCCAATGCCTCAGCATCCGCCATGGCGGCTCCTGTACCCTTCACTACTGCGCACAATCCTGACACACCAACAAACATCAACCTCCTCACCAGTAACCCCAGCGACGTGGACCCTGCTCACACCTGTCCTTATTGCGACCTCCCCTTCACCTGCCACACTGGTCTGGTCGGCCGCTGGCGAATCCATCGCACAGGACTGGTGAGCCGGCACATGGAGAACCAGCCTACACCAGACCAGATTCTCAGTCCAAGCCCGACCGAGCAGAACGACATTTTCTGCACTCCAAATGGGATTACATTGGCGTACATACCACTCCACAGTTATTGTCTCTGAGATTGCCGTTGAAAGTGTACGTATCAAATTACTTTCTGTGTCTCTGGAAATTTTTTGGCGTAGAAATCTATCTGAAGTCTGCCTTTAAGCGAAATTTTTTTTTCATTAAAATCTAACGGTCTACGGAGTCGATTGGCGTGCAAATATCGGCCTAGGAAAACAATTCGTTTATAACCACGAAGATCAGAATTTATTCATCTATTCAGAATGTTTCGAAGGCAAACATATGCTTGCCAACTAGTCTTCTTAAATTTACCAAGACAACGGCAGTATTGCCACTTGAAGAACGAGTGCCTGCATTACCGTTACCTCCCCCGACATAAGATAAATGTGGTATCTCGGTTGAGGCCCTTTGTATGGCAGGAGTCCCGAAAGTTACATTAGTAAATGAGAAGAAACTTGGCAAGCCGGTTAGTCGAACACACTGAAGTGGACATCCAGAGCAGCAAACACGATACCGAGAATTTGAGTCAAAAAAGGCCTGTTGGACGCGGAGCACAACATGAATTCGATTTAGCGTTTCAAGATCCTATTCCCTGCAAGAAGGAGGCGTCTCCAACGCCATTCAAGAACAGTGACTGTTTGCGAAAGAAAGGTAGCCATTATTCGAGCAAACTACCTCATATTGGCCTGGTAGCTGTGGTCGCGTTAGGTGATCCCTTTATTCTAAGACGTCACATGACCGGTTACTATTGTTCACCGTTTACGGTCTGCTGGGATTGGCCGTTTCTGTCGTCATACAAAATACAAGTCCTAGTTTTCATTAGCTTCGCCGGTACATCTAAATAGCCCAAGGCAGTATAATATGAGGAGACCGCAGGAAATTGAATATCAGCTCGTAGTACTTCCTGACCGCATTGAAGACTGCTACAGTCACAAATCTTATCTGGACCAAATTAATTCTGGCAAGAACATGATTGAGATAAACAACTTATCAAATCTATAAGAGGACAGGACATCAAGGTAGTTTATCTATTCATTTCCTCCCTTGCAGAAACTTCCTGTTGGGAATAGGTCGTAAAAACGCGACTGCTTACTCTAATCGAATCCGAAAAACCGGATTCAAAAACCCTTCAAGTCATAGCCGCCGAAATCCACCTGCCCCGTTCGCGCGCTTTCCATTCTTCCCCTGAGATATATCTTTGGCCCTATTACTGCTAAGGTGGCGCATATTTGTCCGGTCCACAAATCTGTCTCAAAGTTGTTTCATAATCTGTCAATGGGATGACGAAGCATGTAACAGAGTGTGAGGTGCTGGAGTGACGCCTTTGGCTAAAAAGTTGGCCTTTCAAAGCAAGAATTCTACAGAGGTCAGTACCTAAATTTTCGCGACTGAGAACTCAGGTCCACTGCATTAATTTCGTATCGCTAGTGTATCATACTTTCCCTCAGCTTTTTGACCTATTTGGTTTAGTCAATTTCAGTATGACACAATGCCCAGTACATACACCAATAAAATTTTCTCATTAATATAAACACAGGGAATTATGAATAGAGGAGAAAAGGTTAAAATGTGATTCCCGAGTGGCATATCAAAGGAAGAGGAGGCGTTCACCGGGAGAGGTGTATTTGAGGTCTGACTTTTCGGGTAGTCGTTTCGTCTACCCATCTTCAGAGACTGAGCAGTCGTGCACACAGCTTTCCTTTTATGGCGCACTTTGTTCAATGCCTGGCCCATCAATGCCGCCTGTGTGGCTGCATCCGACCCGCATGTCACCGTGACCTGAATCCCGCCCATCTTCGTCGGCCGCGGTGATAATTGGCGGCCCCGATTGTCCCGCGTCGTGACTGCCCCCCGTCAAGAATGTCCATAAAACTAGATAAGGGGGAGGAAAATTGACGTGGCGGTTGACAAAACAGTCGGTAGACATCCAGGCTTCTTGCACCTGCCTTGCCGTATGATCATCACCTCGGCCAATAATTTCAACAACGTCAAAGTTGAAGACGTGTCCCATTTGGGCGGCATGGGTTGCTACCTCCGACTTCGGATCCAACATTCGCACGGCCAACTGATGCTCGTGCATGCGCGTTTGCAGCCGTCGGCCGGTTTCCCCAACGTAGTTACACATTCCGCAGCTGCACTGAAGTCGGTAGACAACAGCCGACATCTCATGTTTAGGGATCGGGTCTTTTGGCCGCATCACTTGCCGGCGGATTGTTGAGTCGAGCCTGTGGACAACGCCTATTCGGTTGCTTTCGGCTCCGTTCAATTAATGTTCGCGGATGGCCGTTGGATCTGAAGGGTTCTTGGAGGAGCTTCATCTCGTTCCGTTTGGCGGCTGGAGTGCTGCAATGAGTTTCCACCCGTTGTTGTAGCGTGCGTACACAGCTTCGTTTGTGTCGCAGTTGGTGGTTGCTGTTGTAACTGAGCATTTGTAGCGTGTTCGTCGGTTTTATGTAGACTGACGTCGCCAGTTTACCGTCTGGTCGGCGGCAGATGAGAACATCCAAAAATGAGAGTTTGCTCTCTACTTCCTCTTCCATCGTGAACTGTAGGTCGGGGATGATTGAGTTCAATAGTTCTTCATAGTAACTAATTTTATCCTGATCGATGATTACGAAGGTATCATTAACATAGCGCGCCCAAAACGTGGGTTTGTATTCCCCGAACAGTCGTTTCTCGAGTTTTTGGCCGTGCGAAGGTTGGACCCAAAGTCGGAGGTAGCAACCCATGCCGCCCAAATGGGACACGTCTTCAACTTTGACGTCGTTGAAATTATTGGCCGAGGTGATGATCATACGGCAAGGCAGGTGCAAGAAGCCTGGATGTCTACCGACTGTTTTGTCAACCGCCACGTCAATTTTCCTCCCCCTTATCTAGTTTTACGGACATTCTTGACGGGGGGCAGTCACGACGCGGGACAATCGGGGCCGCCAATTATCACCGCGGCCGACGAAGATGGGCGGGATTCAGGTCACGGTGACATGCGGGTCTACCCGAAAAGTCAGACCTCAAATACACCTCTCCCGGTGAACGCCTCCTCTTCTTTTGACAGGGAATTATATCTCTCCCTCCCAGAACATCTTTCTCAGCATCTGCCATTTTCGAAATCGTATTTCCAAAGGAATTAACTGTTTCACTAAAAGGAACTGAGGTATCATCATTGCAAAAGAATTTTGCGTCCAGTCTATGTAAATCGTTTTCATTGACTTTCATGTGGTGTTCGACACTTTACCACACCAGAGACTGTTATACAAGCTGGGACGGGTAGGAAACAGAGGTAACGTCCTTTCGGATCGGCACCAGTTTGTGTGCATTGGTCATCAGAAATCAGATCTTGGTGTGGTCGGGAGTGGTGTTTACCATGATTCAGAACTATGACCTATTTTGTTCCTAATATACGCGGAGGATTGCGCAATGGATGTCAACTGCGAAGCAGCAACGTTTGCTAACGGGATAACAAAGTGGGATGTTATAAGGGGCTCTGTCGACAAGGATGCACTACAGGTGAAAGTTAATCGGTTGGAAAAATGTTCATATGGTTGGTTCCTGCGGTTAAACGTAGGCAAGCGCACCATTCTTCGCGATGGCAACCCAACCAGACTCATCAGCACAAGAAACTACTTCCTCGATGTGACAGATCAAAGGGACCCCTGTATACTGATGACGAACTCCCTAAAACCATGTCCCAGTGTCCCGCGAGGGTCAAAAAGCGGCTGGACGTCATCAAGCGGCTGTTTATGGATGTTGACGAGGACGTTGTCTGCAGGATCTTTGGAACATTCGTGCGGACGAAATTGAGATAAGGCGTACGAGCGTGAGACCTTGAACGTTTCAGGATCAAAAGAGTCTTTTAAGAGTTCAAAGATGTACCACGCAATTGGCCAGGGGTCTGAGTTGTTCTCCATATTCAACCAGCGTATTAAATCTGAGTCTCTTTCCTTTAAGTTATAGGCAACTGCACGGGGATATTTTGTAAGTATTCCGCATTGTGAAAGGGTTGGACTGCGGCCTGGCCATTGAGGACTTTTGAAATCACTACCATGATCAACCTCCGAAGTCACCCGTTGCAACTGCGCATTCATTAGGCAAGATTGGATGTGCGGAAGTCCTCCCTCTCTATCAGATTGGCCAAACCATGGAATGTCCTCCATATGGTGGTTTCCATGTCAGTATCGATAGAAAGCTTTAAAAGTAACCTTGAAATATTTATGTTCCGAAATGAACAAAGCAATGAGAGATCGAGCTCAATCCCTGGGAATTACGCCTAGTTTGTCATATTATTATGGACCCGTTCGAGTTATTTTAGCCCATACGGTTTCTTTGTACACCGCGCCCAATTTTACGTAGCAAATAGGGTACTCAAAGACTCACATCTACTTTCTTCAATAAAAAGAACTGAAACGAACTTAAACGATGGACCGGATTAGAACGTCATGGATTTTCTCAAATGTGAGAAATCCCTGAGGCAATAACGCAGACTGGAGCTGTTAGCTTTCTGCAGAAAGAGGATCCATGCTTGCTTCCTGGGTTATTATTTCTACATCTGTGTGATACAGTCGTGCATTTGGTATCTGTCCTTGAAATCGGGCGTTTAGGCAAACACTATGACTATTCCCTACTAGCCACAGCAACACGTCTGCATTGTCCCTTCGCATGTTAGAAGTACCTCCCACCACGGCCTGCTTTTCCAGAGCACTTGGAACACCCATTTCACTAAAAACTGCCAATAAAATTCTGATGCACGCACACTACACCGTTGAATTGAAAACGTATACTCACTGAACTCTGCTTAGGTTTACCTATGAGCCATGCTTTAGCTGCCAGTGGGCATGTGTTCATTAAATTCAACTGAAGAAGGCAACTTTCGAACCTTACCGTATCAACCAATACCTACTAGTTACAAGTTATTGAATGTTCATCACATGTTTGAGAGCAACTGCCTATGTGAAGACTGGGTTTTTCATATCGGGAAACTGCAAAATGTCTGGGCTTTTAGCTAGCACATTTGCTGCCAAGTATGGCGTATCGTGTATCCTGCATATGCTTGCACTATTGGCTTTTCGTTGGCAATCTATGAATATTACGTAGGTATTCCTCTGTAGCTGGTAGACTTTTGCCCAAATATTAATACGCCATTTCTATTTGAATCAGTGAGTCCCAAAGAGACTGATTTGTTCCATATGCGCGACTAATTGCCAAGGGAACGGAAGAGCTGCATTTTCAAAAACTGATGCATCTACCGGAAAGCATACGGGGAACTCTGAGGGGTCCGGATGATGAGTTAAACCCCTCGCAGCTACGTATTGCAGCGGCAAAGTACTGGCTAAACGCGTGTCTGGGCGTTCAGGCAGTACGTGTGCTGCCAAGCTTAACTTGATTGTGGTGCGCAGCAACTACAATATTTCCTCATTCCGAAGAGAGATGCGCGACACTGGGCTGAAGCGCTCTTTTGGAGGCAAACGGGAAAATCAAAAGTGTCTGTCACTTTTCTGACCGAAATTCACTCATGAAAGAATAAAGCGAAAACTAAAACATTACTTTCAAAAGATTTATTCAGTGAACAGTTTTATGAAATCTTAACCGAACATCTTCAGAGCCTTTGCGATGAATAAGAATCTCTTAATCGGGGTTGTGATACTCATTGCCATTCAGCATAATCTCAAGATATTTCAGCCATGTTAGGATGCCAGCTTTTGAATGCAGTTCTTTTAGGTCGTCTGCAGAAACCAAAATTTGCAGGTGAAACTACCGAAATGCTATGAATATCTCTAGTTGATTTTCGATGTCTTTATAAATTATAGTGTATTTCATATAAATACATACACAGAAAATACTTCTGATCGTTCACATTTGGTGGTAAATCACGTCTTCTTCAGGTTTCATGCTAGAAAAAGGACATCCTTTGGTTTTCGCAAAAGTTGTAATTATAAAATTTTTAAGACCGTAAAACGTTTATTGAAACAGAATCCCAACTGTGAGTGTTCCTCATGAATCAGGCGACATAGTCCATATCCAGTACACCGCTTTATGAGCACCATATTGTGTCTTCTGTTAGGACAGCCCAGAAGATGGCGAATCATTCTTGTCGTCCGACAGTCATGCCTGACAAGGAGCGCTAAACACACAGCTCAGTCTCGCCCAGCAAACCGTACGCGACCCAGCAATTAGTCCGCCGCCGAGTTAAGCGCTACCTTCAGAGGCCGACAACACGCGAGTTGTAGCGGCCAAGCGAGGGAGCGACGAGGGTAGGCGACAGCTTAAACTCAAAAGTCCTTGTAACTCATAACGGGTGGGGTCGGGTGATACGCGGGACATCGTTCGAGGGAGGACCGATGGTGAAAAGATATAAATTAATTGTCAACTATAAAAAGCGGGAGACTATCACAAGGTGGATTGCGGTAAAACGAAAAGAACGACAGAACGACTTATTGGAGAGGAGTTGGGGTTTACTTGTCCGCGCGTGACCTTGGAGGCACAGACCCTGCAAAAAGACGGAAGAATGCCACCTAACGTGAGTGCCAATTAAAACGACCAAGGTTTGAACTCTGGTCAGATCTGCCCATGCGGGCGCTCAGGGTAAGGCCAGTAGGAAGACTCAAATAAGACAAGAGCAGAACCCTTAAATACGAAGTTACGGACAGAAGGATTGAGGGTTGATATACACAAAGTGACTGCCACAGTAATGCTATTCGCTGCAATCCTGTCTGTTTTCTATTCCGCGCTGAACTGGTGTCGTACTATTGGGGATCTAACACTTCTCAATACGGGTAAATGTTGTGGCCATATTCCGGGCGCCTCAAGTAACGCTGCGTCGCTCGCGCTTGCCCTGTGCGTACATACGACAGTCGACCGTCACGACCGATGATGTCCATCGTGTGCTCCGCAGCAGGCTGAGATCAGGGAATGTGACCTGTGCGTGATTTCTTTTATGGTAACAATAGACCTGCGCTGCATCTACTGCATCTCTCCTTCTCCTCCAGTTGGGTCCGCGCGTACCAATGATAGTCTGGTTATCAGCCAATCACAGCCATCCAAGCGAACCAATCAACTGCAAGGCTGTCTCAAGGCGCCGTGATGACACGTCACTCAGACTAAGGACGACGCTTCTTGCGCACTGGACGTGTGCCCTCGTCCAGCTGCTGACTTGTTTTACATCTGTTTTGTACAAATTGCAGTATTCCTCAACTGGCGTGCAACTTCTCGCCTTCCTATTTGAACTTGGGCCTGAAAGTCGTAGTGGTTACTTTGCATTTTGGCTCAAGCTACCATTACTGCGAAGTGTGCGGGTTGTAGATTGCGAACCCTAAACGCAAATGCAACATCAGGTCGGAGTCAAAATTATTTGAACACTATAATCTTTTTAAGTCCGAATATACCGCTTGCTCAGGCAGAAAATTGGAAGAAGACGTGATCAGCTATCGAATTAGAACAAGAAAGGATATTTTTACCCCTTAGTCTGTCCTAATGGGAAACTCATTTCGGAATTTCGACTAACATTTCGTGAGGTAAGTCGCTGACTGTAACTAATCATAAACACTATTCTGCACTAAAGAATTTACGAATACAAGTTGGTAGATGTTCTATCTCCGACCATCTGAGGTCAGTTATGCTCCTTTTGGATTTTAACATACCCATACGTCAGACCCTAACCTCTTTGTAACGAATGTTGCAGTTGGGGCGTTTAATCACTGGCAAAACAAGTTGCCTGACTCTTATTTAAGGAAAAGTGAGGTTTATGAGGTGGTGTCCGAAAAGGAGAATTATTAAAACGAGTTTTCCTTATATATGATTATAC